TCATGTGCAGTGAAGGAGAAGGTAAATGCATCAAAAAATCAAATCTGGAAGACGAGACAATTTATCAATAATCAATCTAAGGGAGTCACATGAAAACATTCCTGACAAGAAGTTTTTTTTTTCAGCAATATCAACATCATATAAAGCATTTCATGTGCAAATATTGTACTGTACAGTGTACCACGTAGGTAGGCCATTTGGAAATAGTCCTCAAGCCTGTATATTTGATGTTCAAACAGAAATAACAAATGTTAAACAAATGAACTGTGGAAGAACCAGCAGAGGACATGGCAGAAGGTGGATCGCAGGGTACTTTGTAGGCCACATTTGGAGTTTAAATATTTATTCCATAAGTAGTGAAAATTACCAAAGGATTTGGAGTGAGAGTGGTTTAACAAAATACTGACTAAATTAAGCTTTATTTCATTTAATCGCTGCATTACAATTATACATATAAGTGAGAATCACTGCAATATATTTGTAAATGCATGTAACATAACTTGGTCAATTGTATTCTCTAGTATTTCCACTTTCCCTTCCTTCTTTCTTCCCCTAGTCCACAGTTTCTGCTCTACTGATCTCCCTTCTTTTGTCATGCGATTCTTTTTACTTCTCTCCCTAGTTTCTGCATATGAGAGAAAATATTTGACTTTTGACTTTCTAAATCTGTCTTGTTTCACTCTCCCCGAGATGTTGTGCAGTTCCATTTATTTTCCTACAAATGACATAACTTCATTCTTCTTTATGGCTGAATAAAACTCCATGCATATATATCACAATTTCTTTATCCATTCTTCTTTTGGCAGATACCTAGACCTATTCAGTAGCTTGGCTATGGTATATATTTGGGCTTAAAAAGATTGCATTACAGAATTCTTTCAAGTGTTCAAGAGAGGTCACTGGGAGAACAATAAAGGTCCTCCTCCATGGCTGACAATGACTCAAGAAGGCAGTGAAGATGGTGGGAGGGAGGGGAACAAGGTTCTGAGGCCCATGATGAAACTAGAATCAAAAGGCCATGGTGAGGAATGCAATATGGATAGTGCTTTGGGAGCTTATGGAGAAGGAGGTTTAAAGAATTTGTCCCTGTTTCTGGCTTGAGCACCTGAATTCATTGATTTCATTCACTTGGGTCTGCCTGAGGTTTTAATCCAAGTAGTGTCTGTTTTATATACTTAAGTGCACCAACATTTCAGACATAAATATTTATTATTATTATCTCCTCTTGTTAAGTTTTCTTTTTACCAATAGGAAGTGAATTTTGATTCTTCTGATTTACTTTGGCTTGAAGTCTGCCTTGTTTAATATGAGATGGCTACTACTACTACTTGCTTTTGTTTTCCATTTGTATTTGTATCAATTTCCATTATTTCCCTTTCAGATGATGATTGTCACTGCCTATAAGGTGACTCTCTTGCAAACAACATACAGTTAGATCTTTTTAAAAGTCCAGCCTGCCAGCCTACATCATTTAATTGGTGATTTGAGACCATTTATATTCAATATTATTACAGAGAGATGTTTATTAATTACTGCTATTTAGATTTATTGTCACGGCCTCATTTGATCCTGTTTCTCAGTTACTTAACTACTCTTTGAATGAGATTTGTCCATTTGTATGCTCTGAGATTAGTTTTTGATTTTTTCTGTGTATAATATTTTGTGTGTAAGTATTTTCTATAGTGCTGGCTTGAGTAATGATTTCTTTTAGTTTCTGCTTATCTTTGAAGAATTTAATTTCTTCTTTGATTCTGAAAGATAGCTTTGCTTGATAGAGCAATCTTAGTTGACAATTAATTTCTTGCATGACTTGGCAAATATCACTCTAAGCCCTCCTGAAATTTAGAGTATGTGCTGAGAAACTGGAAATAATTTTGATTAGCTTGCCTGTAAGATTATCTGATGTTTTTCTCTTGAGACTTAAATTTGCATTCTTGTTTTTTGTGTTAATTAAACATTTTAATTATAATGTGTCATGAAGAGGTTTTTCATTGTCTCTTTGGGAATTTGAATGCCTACCTCTTGCATCTGGAAGAAATCTTATTCTCAGATTTAAATTTTTTTTCTATTATTGCTGAGTATGGTGGCTTACCTGTAAGCCCAGCAGCTTGGAGGCTGAGACAGGAGGATCACAAGTTCAAAGCCAACCTATGCAATTTAGCAAGGGCCTGACCAATTCAATGAGAAATTGTCTCTAAATAAAATATTAAACAGAATGGATGAGAATGTGGCTCAGTGGTAATATGCTCCTGTATTCACCCCCAGTTAAAAGAAAAAAAATATTATTTTTTTTAAGAGATTTTCTGTGTCCTTAGCCTGAATCTTGCCACCCTCCTCATTTCTGGTGATTTCTGAAATCTGGTCTTTTAATGTTGTCAAAGTATTTTTGTATATTAAGGTTAGGGTTCCTTATTTTCTTTTTTTTTTTTTTTAACACTTATGAATGTTCAAGGCCGATCACTTTGTCTTCCAAAATGATGTTCTGGTGCTCTGATATTCTGTCTTCAGTATGATCTACTCTATTAGCAAGAATTTTAATTGAACATTTTATTTGACTTATTATATCTTTTATTTCTAAGATATCTTTTTCAGTATCTGTGCCACATTATTGAATTTTTTATACATATTCTGTACTGAGTTTCTTAATTCATTCAGTTGTTTTTCTCTGTTATCTTGCAATTCACTGATAATTTATATAACCATTCTTTTGATTTCTTTCTCTGGTATTTAATCCACTTCAATATTTTTGGAGTCAGTTGCTGGTGAATTATAAATTTTAGAAGGTGCTGTGTTATTGTTTTTCATATTTCTTGTGCTTCTTTGATTCATTTATGCATGTGTTGGCATGGATTTATCTTTCACTATTATCTATGGGCCCTTGAGTTCAGTTTTCTTTTTCCAATTGTTTTAGTGTGACCTAGATTGATATCCTCATAGGTGTAGTGTCCATAGCCCTTGTGTTAATTCTCTCTATTTTCACTTTATAAGTGAATATTCATGAGCGGGACCTGAGGTTCTTTTTAACCAATCCTCTGGGACCTTCTCATTTGTTTAGGGTTATTGTTACTTCTATTCTTTGTTTTCGAGGGCCAATGAAGTTTCATTGTGGTTAATATGTAGGGACCAAGTTGCACTGTCCCTTGGCCAAGTTTATCCCAGAAGCAGGTAAACTTGGAGGAGACTCTCCTTCTCTCTGACTTGAATCCCACTTGGCACTCTCTGTGCCTATTTCACTCACATTCCTCTAGGTACACCCTTAGCCACATAGTAGGTGCTTTCTGGGACAGAATGGCAACATTTTTTATATTCTCCTGCAGCAAACTTCAGTGTAACCTTCTCCAGATGGCTCTCACTTAGCTTTCCACTTGCCAGATGAGTACTATTTAGACACCAGTTCACTGTGCAGCCTCTAGATCTGCTAAGTTTAGGGTCCTTTTTTTTCCTGCCAAAATTGTTCAACATCTTACTCTCTCTGTAACATTCTTCCCCTCTACAGTGAACCAGCACCACTGCCAATGCCACTGTCACAAACGGCTTGACTGTAGGTTATGGCAGGGACATTGGCAGTGGTGCCAGGTCACTGTTCAATGCACCCAAACTTCTGAATCTCTAATAGACTCTGATTGCCGCTTATTGAATTTTAGCGAATTCCCTCTTTCACTAAGCTCACTGAGAAGCAGTACCTGCTGCTTGAATACAACATGACAGAGCAATAAAAAATGCAGCTCTCCTCTAATCTTCCATCTTGAATCCCATTTGCTTTTAATTTTTTTTTGCATTGCTTTTGGTCTTTATCATTCATCAACTGAATTTTTACATTTTAACTTGCCTGACTCCCAAGGTTATTTTTTCCACATTAGGTTTCTTTCTATTTCCTCATTTTTATCATGAGAAATATAGATGTATTTTCTTTTATTGTATCAAAATAAGGGGAGAAGTCAGTAAATAACCAGAAAGAACTACTTTATTCTACTTTATAATTTACAAAAATAAATACTATTTAGCAATTCAATGATGTTATAGAAGAGGCTTATTTTCATAATAAGTATTGAGAATTGCTTTTAAGATGGGTAGAGCAGATTATGACAATATAATATAGTTTAATCCTTTTTTTGTCATTGTGGGGCAATAATATCCTAGTAGTTATTTAGAAAATTAAGGTATTAAAACTCTAACTGAAATCTAATAGGCATATCTGTCTCTTCATGTGATTTGTTTAATAAAATGAACACAATGCTATTTTAAAAATTATCATTTGTAATTAAAAAAACATAAAATCCTCTATCAAAATCTTCAGATCTCATTTTGTTCTCTGTAGTCCTCTGCTCATAGCATATGAGCTATAATTGACAGATGCCTTTCAATGCCCCTTGGTGGGAGAGTTCCTACCTTGCTGTATAGGTTGATATCCCTAGTATGGAAGGCAGACGCTGGACTAAAGTGGGTCCTCAAAAGTGTTTACTGACAGGGCATACTATAATAGTAGTGGGTCAGGAAGCTGAGGCAGGAAAATTGCAAGTTCAAAGTCAGCCTCAGAAACTTAGCTAGAACCTAAACAACTTAGCCATATCCTGTCTCAAAATAAATAATAAAAATGTCTGGGGATGTGGCTCAGTAGTTAAGTGCCCCTGGATTCAATCCCTGGTACCAAAAAAAAAAAAAAAATGCTTGCTGAGTGGGACAGGAAAGAGTGGCTGTGGCCTCAGGAATGTTATGAAGACAAACTGAACCAACATAGGGTCACTGATGAGCAGTAGACAGTGATGGACATAAGAAGCAAGTTGTACAAGAGTCAGAATATTCAGAATCTAAAGACCAGGGTGGAGTCCAGAGTGGGAACATAAGACGTGCACATCAAACTCCAGAAATCTGACTCACATGTTCACTGGAATCATACAAAGATATAGTCAAAGACTAGGATGAAATTTATTGGAATTTCAGATTACCACTTAACCTTTATTTATTTATTATTAATTAATTAATTTATTTTTCTCTTTTTTAGAGAAAATCATTGAAGAAATTGGTAAGTTTTATATTTTGTTTTTTTTCTATGCAAATTTGGAAATTCAGCCTCCATGTCCAAAGTGCAGTTACTATCTATGTGATTGGTTGCAGAACAAAGAAAATTTCTGGGAATAGAAGGTAAGTAATGTTACAGTTCACACCACTGATACACCACAAACCATGACCTTCAACAGTCTGTGCTCAATCACACAGCTAACAGTGAATGTGTCTACCTTGTTGCAGGTCTGAAGGAAGCTCGAAGATTTGCAAGTAGGTACACAGAGAAGGAGATGTGGTTAAGAATGACCTCATGCCTGTCCTCCAAACTCTGTGGGATAATATCATGGAGGAAAAGTCTTCCCAAATGATCTATAGGATACAAGTGGGCAAAGAAAATCCTTTGAAGTTGGATGCAGGGACCTAAGTTGGCTATGGGAGAGGTAGTCGAGTAAGACTGCCATAAATGCATGCATGAGCTCCAGATGGCACAATCACTGTGGTCTCTCCTAACCCTAACATGTAGCCTCTAGTCTGTAAGGAGCAGGTCCTCTCCATCCTCTTGATACCACCACAGGACTCTCTAGAATGATGAGGGAGTGTGGGGTTGGTCTCTTCTCTCTCCTCTCCTTTCACTTCAAGTCCTCCATGTCCATCAGCTCATTCTTACCAATAGGAACACACTCTTATTTCTCCCTAGTTTTCTTAACAATAAATAGCAAAGTCCATTAATACAGTCTTTCCATTGGGTTGTTATCTTGCTTCTTCTCCCTTTCCAGAAAAACCTCATTAGAAAATTGTGAATCTCATTCTTAATTTGGACCCTCTGCTGTCTTCCCACCCCAGCTCCATAAACACCCACAGCCTAACAATGGCCCTCCTGGGCCTGAATGGTCCTCACTGCGCTTCTTGCTACCTCCTAAATCCACCTCCTCCCTCTTCCTCCTCCTGCTGCACTGGACAGTTTCATGCCCTCTGAACACACTGCTGAGCCTCTGCCTCTGAGCTGAGCAGCGGGAACCATCTCCTTGACCTTTTTTGACCCTTCTGTTATGTTTTCACTCTGTCCATGGAGGGCCTAATATTCTTAGTGGTAACATCAAGGTGACCTTCTGAGAGTCAGAACATTAATAAAGACCTTTCCCAAGGGGGTTTCCAAGCACCATCCATCTCCCATCAGGGCAGGTCTTGGGAGCTCTCTGGTTACAACAAAAATCAGTTCCCCAGATGCAGCAGTCTGAAGGTACTTTCCTGCAGGAAATGAACTTCAGATCAGTAGGTGGGATGGTGTCCTTAGTATTGACTTACTTGTATTTATATTGTCTCTGTGTTTATAAAAAGGGCCTCTAAACACATGTCCCTTGTTCTGCTTCCCTCTTTTGACCTTGGCGTAGAAGTTTAAGGGTCTTTTCTTGTTGCTTACAAGTAACTGATGTCTTTCCTTCCACAGGGAACATCATACTGGATGCAGAAACTGCTCACCCTTTCCTTGCTGTGTCACCTGATGGGAAGGTAGTTCAAAGGCTCTCTGTAAAACAACATGTTCCTGATAATCCTGCTCAATTTACTCTAATGCCATCTGTGCTGGGTCAGAACAGTTTCTCTTGTGGCAGTCACTACTGGGAGATAAAAGTAGCAGGAAAGAACAGCTGGGCTATAGGGATCTGCTTGGATTCCGTGGACAGAAAGAAAGCTTACGACTACTCTTGTCCTGAGGATGGATTCTGGACCCTCTCCCTGCAGGATGGTCATTACAAGGCCCTTTCAATGCACTCTTATAATATTGAAGTCCCAGTACCTCCACTAATAGTTGGGATTTTTCTGCAATATGAAGAAGGCTTGATCTCGTTCTATGATGTGACAGAACTTAGCATTCTTTTTACTCTCAAAAGCAACTTCAACCAGCCCCTGAGGCCATATTTCTACCCTGGACCTCTTACCCCAAGAAACACTCAAGGACTTACAATCCTCCCAGTGCCAAGTGATTCTGATTCGCCCTAGAGCAGTCACTACTGGGAGGTTGAAGTAGCAGGGTGGATATGTGGCTAATAGGACTCTGCTTGGAGTCAGTTATATGAAAAATAACTTGTACCTATACCTTCCCTGAGAATGGTTTCTGGTCCCTTTCCCTGAAGGATGGTAAATACTAATTTCTTTCTGTCCCATATTTAGTTAGTGATGTTGAAGTACCCCCTAAGATAGTAGGGATATTTTTGCAATATGAGAAAGAGTTGATCTCTTTCTGTGATTTGAAGGCATCTACCATTCCCCATACTTTCAAAAGCAAGTTCACCCAGATTCTGAGGCCATGTTTCTACCCTGGACCTTTTATCCCAGGAAACACTAGTGGCCTTACCATCATCCAGGTGCAAAGTGGGTATGATTCTCTCTGAAGCAGAATGCAGACACATTCCCCAGGGGTCATCCAATGGACCATGAGGGCAGTGGCCATTCCCCAGCCAGGGTGCTGCAA